TAGCGTAAAAGGACTCACCAGGCGTCGCACTGTACAGCGCAAGCAGGACAGCGGAGGCGCGAGAACGAGAGAGCACTACCGTACGGGGACGGATGCGCGGACTACCTGGACACGACCGCTCGAGAGCGGTGCCACAGGCGGAATCGAACTCTTTGAAAAACAGAACTACCATTTATATATTTATTTTAATTTTATCACGGTTTATGAGCATTATGAGTCGTGCATTGATTTTCCAATCTTTTTTTTATATTGTATTTTGACATAAAATTATCGGAATATTGTGAGTATAGTAATAATTGTTTACATGAGTGAATACTTCTGAGTATTTAAACTACTCCAAAAAAAAATTTACGTATTATCATGTAATTTTTTTAATGCGCTTAAGGCATTCACAATTGGATTAACAAATGGTTTTTTAAAACTCCTCATTAAAATGCAGTTAAAGTTAGCCTCAGGCTAGCTAGTGTCATTAGTATAAAGGTGTAAAGTACTTTGACAACTTACGTACTTTTTAAAATAATGTGACAACAATTATAAGAATCATGCAAGGACAAGGACGTGAAGTATCTATTTACTAGGAGTTGATTTTGGGAAGTCGCTTTAATTATGGTTTGTTTACCTCTGTTACTTTCTTACTAGACCCACGGGATGATATGGGTTAGTGCATATTCTTACATCACTATTACGCGGTAACGTAGCTATGTAGCTAGGGAGAGGTACGTTAGTTTCGAAATGATATTCAGCAGTTAATGAACAGGGCTTCTCGGTACGATACAATTGCCAGGGATGGTTTTGAAATCGTTCCGCGTCATTAAACCGTCTAACGATCTACTGCATGATTTATAACTATTATTTGAAAATACAAGTAAAATGAATTAACGAGTTACTGACTAAGCGGGAAACGAATAATATACAGATAATCTTTGCGCAGGGATTGCCTGACTTATCTAATTTCTCCCTCTCCTCCCTCTACTCCCTCTCCATTCAATAATGGGACAACCAGACGTTTGACTGGTCTCCATCCTTGTGTTGACAACTATTTGCTTCGTCATTCCAATACGTAAAGCAAAGATGTATGATAATTTGTCTGCATTTGCCTTTCCATCCCATAATAATGTAGCTGTCTTCAAAAGCAAGAGTAAATAGGCTTTTGTTAAGCTAAGACAGATCGTTTTACAATCATTGGCTGCACCACTACTTATCAACAACTTGGATAGTAGTCAGGAAATGGCTATTAGTAAAAAAAAACTAAATTTCTATATTAGCGCCAGACTACGTAAATAAGGGATAAAAATCTAGTCAAAGTTTTTGTAATTTTGAAACAGTTCTTTTTACGTTGCATCAACATTTTGACAAACATTGTCGTCTGCAAGTAGAAAACTCCTTTACTCATAAGCCAGTGCTTGATTACAATCCATTCTGGTAGTAAGCTGTAATACAGAAAATTGTACTATTTTAACGTAAGAAAGGCCTATACATGATTGATAATAATTCCTGAGATGAACGATACCAGCCAGGATTTCTTGTACAAGGAGTGCATCGTTCTAATAATTACGTTTTTATTATGACGTAAGTTTTCACTTGTATCGTGCGCTCATAAGCATTGTAATTTATTATAATTTTATGTGTAATAAGGAGACGTGACGTGTGCGATCAACCCTAGTTCGATCCCTGGCGGATAATTTTCTACGTGCTCAGCGGTAAGGAAATGCATACATAGAAAACCTGTATGTTTTCTGAAAAATAAAATATGTTAAAGATATGTTTTGAAGTCCGCACTGGGACTACATAGGGTTCTGATCTAAGGATATAAATAAAATTGAAATGTCTGACTGTTTTATTGAAATAAACTCCTTTTATACACCCAAAATTATATATTTTATATAAGGCAATCTATGAGGATTAATCTAGGAGGTTTATGTTTAGCAATGGACTTAATATACTATTACGGTCACGGTAACCATCTCTTATCAGTCGAGGGTTGAGGGTAACACCATGAAAATATGCCCTATAAAAATATGATGTATTAAGTACGGTAACTATACTTCTAGTCAGGCTGGTGTACCTACACCAACCTGACTAGAAGTATAGTTACCGTACTTATACTCTCTCGAGGAATGACTAACGAGGACAACTGGTGATGGTACAGCCACAGATGTGTGCAAAAGTGTTTTCGTGGCTCTATCAATTGGCTGAACAGCAGATTTTAACCCACAACTTTTGACATACACATTTTAATATTTCTTATCCTTAACCATAATGATACTGCAACTTTTAACTAACTTATCGCGATGAACATATGACAATGCACGTGCCACACGATGACAAATTAGGTACGTAGTAGAGAATTTATCATTCCATTTCGTCTCGTGAATGTCGTAAAAGACGTCAAAAAGTGCCTCTGATGGATGACGGTGTGTTCGTTACTGCACGCACTATACATATTATTATAATTGTAGCACGAGTGGATCAGCTTGACCGGGGAAGTACCACGCTCTCACAGAATTCCAGTGTAAAATAGCTGTTAAATGCTGCTGTGTTCCATGTACATCGTTTCCAGTAAAAAGGAGTCTTCAGTTCTCTACACTCACCATAAGAAACACAGCAGTATTAAATTGCTATTTTACATTAACTATCAACCTGTGAGAGCGTGGTCCTTCCCGGTCGACCCAACCCATTGGTGCTACAACTTTGCCACTGATATAGCTGCAGCATGGCTCTACCACGTATAAATTTCACTACGTGAGCACCTCGGGTTTATTGTAAAGATTTTATATACTATAATTTTATTAATATTTGTTATGGTAATTCCTCATTAGCAACGGCTAAAATAAATATATCAGAGAGTTAATTCTAGTGGTTAAAGCCTTTATTTAATGGTACGTGAGTAAATCGAGATTGTTCTCTAATAACTTTTTACTAATGTTGCACTAGGTGCGAAAAAGCGCCTGGTAACTCGCCATTAACGGTAAACATCTTGAAGAAACATACTAGGAATATTAGAAGCACGCAAACTTGTATTGAAGCAGCGCAACGAACTCTTCTATGCTCCAAAACACCTTATCAAAATGAGAGAAGAATTGCGACCAGCGGTTATACATACATGTATGAACTTTGAGTAAAGAAATTGAGTATTCACCACAAAAACACACCTTGATCATGGCCTGTGACAATCCTAGTGAAAATATTGAGTCATACTCGTATTTATGAAATAATATGGTCACCGGTTCTTAATACATTAGCAACATATTAAATTATTTAGACGTGTAAGTCGGTGAAAACTAGATAACATAATTTTGTTACATACATACAGATAAAGCTAATATAATTCGTGTAAAAAAGAAATGCTTAGTACGAATATTATAATTCTAAGCTTTGTTTGTAGGTGAAGTTTTGCTTTCAAAGACTTGCTTACTTAAATACAGCTTTTGAATGGTAAGTCTAAAGGCACACCGACTTCTTCTCAGATCAAAAGCATTACAGAGGATGTTTCCGTAAACACAAACACTGTTCACGACTTAGTAGTATACTTGTGGCTTCTGATCTGTAAAACTAAGGTGCAACTAACGATATTTGGAGTGTATTTTGTTATGTGCTCACACGAGAACTGTAAAGAGAGATTCTAGTTTTACATATGCGGTGCTGCTGGTATAAGATTTTTATTAAAAATAAGCGAGCATGCGGATGCAACCTGATGATAAATGATTTCTTCTATGAACATCTAAATAACAATTTATTTGTCGTATAAACATTACATTGGATCGCATTAAATAGAAAACAAGCAAATCAAACAAAAGAGTATTCCAGTTTTAATTTTAATTTGATTTTATAGTATAAGGGTGACAAATGAGCACACAGTCCACCTGATGGTAAGTGGTTGCTGTTGCCCATAGACATCTACATCTATCCACGTTTGCGAATCAAAATGCAGATGCATTGTCACCTATGAGGACTAAAATGGAATGCTTCTTTTCCAGTATAATTTAAATTAAAAATTTTGTACAGCCGACTCCAATATAAATTATTAAGAATAACTCAAAAACTGTTGCTCGCCTCATAACGTTTTACTGGGTGAACCGATTTCGATGATTCTTTTTTTATTTCAAAGCTGGTGCTTCACATGTGGTCCCATATAAATTTGATCAAAATTTGACCAAATGTTTTTAAGTTATTTTGTTACCGCCATTTCTCAAATTAAAATATTCCGCGTTTTGGTCAATCTTATCGACGAATCAAATTTCCTCTATAATACCTTCATTTATTCCACTAATTCCTTCTTGCGACCGACAATCGGGTAGGAGGAGAAGTCTAAGTAAGAACACGCCCGCACGCGGAAGCATATTGTGTCACGCTCGCGACTCGCATATCTGTTTAATTATTATACGCCTAAAATCACGGCCGTGAATTGTATAAAATAAGTGTAAATCGCGCAAGAAAACTAGGAGTGTACCACGCGAGTGTCAACCTCAAGTAAGAAAAGAAGCTGACGGCGTTCTCCAGGTGCGTTCAACGAAATCCAATTACAACTACCTACTACAGTCCACTTTATTCCAATTTTGAATCACGCGTCACCATTTTGGTCCTTCGAGCCGGATTAAAACCTTTCCAATTCGATTACCATTTTTGCCACTTCGTTGGAATATTCAGATGCAGAGTAGGCATAATTAAAACCATATATATATGCTTAGAAACATTAAATACAATATTTTACTTAATTTCTCGCATATATACTCGCATTATATATTTATTACATTGATTTAAAGCCGTATATTTATCGCTATTATATAACTTACCGCAATACATAATACAATGTCTACATACCCGCTCGCTCACGAAGAAATTTAGATCAGTTTAATAAATCTACCTGATATTTCCGCGACAGATTAAGTGTTTAGGACGCTCTAATTATTAGTGTATTTGTCCATCTCTCGCCAGTTAAAATTAAAACTTTACTTATAACCTTAATATTTCTTTTATCTTCTTTAATATTTATTATAAAAATGTCAAAAACTAGCGCGTCAAAAACTAATGAATCTAGGACTAAAACGCCAGACCCCAAATTAATGATGTTATTAAATATAGTTATAGCTAGGCGCGATTCTTTATTTAACCGCTTACAAACAATTTATGATCGCTCTCAACAAGTAGATAGTGAGGTGGACAGGGAAGAGTTCCTTTCTGGAGCGATTTCGATTGATGCATTACGAAGTGATTTCGAAAGGGTATTAACCGAGTACAATTTATATAATATGCAAGTCTACCCAGAAGCAAAGGTGGAATATCAGTCATGGGTTGCGTTCGAGGAACTATACTGTCATATAAAACATGTAATGTCTCGTCTTACAAGTCGAATAACAAATGAATGTCCGAGATCGGTCACAATATCGCGACCGTCTTTACCGCCTATAGAGCTAGCGTCGTTTGATGGTGATATCCGCTCATGGTCTTTATTTTATACAAGTTTTAAATCCACTGTGCATGATAACCCGTCCCTATCAGACGCCGATAAATTGTATTACCTGCTAGGTAAATTAACAATCAAAACGCATTCTGTGTTCGCCGGTATTACTCCTTGTGCTGAGAATTATGAACTTATTTTGAACGCGCTTATAGAGAAGTACGATGATAAACGCATGCTAGCATCGACCTATATCAATCAAATTTTTGACTTTAAACCAGTTTCTAACTCTTCTGCTCGAAACCTAGAATTATTTTTACATACGTTCGTAACCGCGGTTAGCGCATTAAAAAACTTACAAATACCTGACCTAACTGATTTTATTATATTACATACCGCCTTAAAAAAGTTGGACCCCGAAACAGTTCGTTCTTTTGAAATGCATTCTCGAAAGGATAAAATTCCTAATTTTAAAAGTTTAACCGACTATGTAAAGGAACAAGTTAATATATTACAGCGCTCTTATCATTCGAGTTTGACCTCGAATTCGAACCCGAATCACCGACCCACCGCAAAAGTTCCACAACCGCAATCTTATGTCGCTATGGCCGATACATACAAATGTTTGTGCAGGGATATTGTGCATGATCATTTATACAAGTGTCCGGCGTTTTGTAAAATGACAGCGAACGACCGTTATAAATATGCTAAGGAACGACACGCTTGCGTAAATTGTTTGAGTGTTATACATAAGGCAGGGACTTGTAACTCTAACTCTAAATGTAAAATTTGCAAAGGCAAACATCATAGTCTACTTCACTTTGACGCTTTCAAACCTGCTAACGCTCGCGTTGTGACCACCGCCGCTGCGTCATCGGGTACAACGCGCGCGATCGTACCGACAACAGCTGCTCCCGCGTCATCGCCCGATGTGCGTAGCAAGAGCGTTTCGTTGTGCACAACGTCCATTGCCGCACCGCTATCAACGCAATCTTGCGTATCCGAAGATTTATTTACACGCAATGTATACACTACGGTTCTGCTATCTATTGCAGCGGTTATGGTACCCGACGCGTATGGCACGAGCCGTAGTGTGCGTTGCTTATTAGATAGTGCATCACAGAGCAATTTTATAACGTCGGAATGTTGTGATAGATTAGGTTTATTAGTAAATAAAGACAACATAAAGGTAAAGGGTATAGGGGGTTCAGAAAAATACGCAAAGGGAGTTGTAGCATTCCAGTTCACTTCTCGTTTTAACCCTAACATAAGATATAATATTTCGTCGCTCGTCGTCGATAGAATAACATATGACTTACCGTCTATGCCTGTCAACGCATCCGCTATGCCTTTCTTACAAGATTTGCCGTTGGCCGATGAAAAATTCTTTGAGCCATCACAGATCGATGTTTTGATCGGTGCTTCTTTATTTTCGCAACTTTTATTGCCCGGTATAGTAAGGGATAACTCTGCTGTACCGCCAGCTATACAAACAACGCTTGGTTACGTAATTATGGGCACTGTGCCCGCTCTTCCCGCTCGCGAAAACGTAACCTTGACGTGTTGTAGTACATTACCCGCACACGCCGAGGAAGACCCGCTAGATACGTTGGTAAAACGGTTTTGTCAAATAGATGAATCTCCTTTGAGAACTCCGCCCACTCAGTCCCCGGCTGAGATAGAGTGTGAGCATTTCTTTCGCGAAACCACTGAACGTGACAAAGAAACGGGCAGATACATAGTATCGTTGCCTTTCCGAGATGATATATTTTCGCTTGGTGATACTTATGAAACCGCTCGGAAACGTTTTCTGATGTTGGAGAGGAAGTTTGAAGCCGCTCCTGAGTTTAAGGCCGCATATGACTCAGTTATCCACGAATATTTAGAAAAGGGCTATCTGTCACCCGCGCCGCTTGTTGACAGTGATAACTGCTATCCCGTTTACGTCATACCACACCACGGTGTTTTTCGTACAGATAAGACCACTACTAAACTTCGCATGGTTCTCGACGCGAGTCATAAATCGAGTTCAGGCCGCTCACTGAACGATATTCTCCATAGTGGTCCCAATTTACAAGGTGATCTGTTTGCAATTATTTTAAATTTTCGTCTTTTCGCTACCGCGCTTTCCACTGACTGTAAACAGATGTTCCTTCAAATTATAATGAATAAGCGCGATCGTCGCTTTCAACGCATGTTATATCGTTTTCACCCGCAAGAAGAACTTACCGAATATGAATTTAATAGGGTTTGTTTTGGACTTAGGTCCAGCCCGTATCACGCGCTCCGTGTCATTCAGCAACTCATTGCGGATGATGGAGATTCATTTCGGCTAGCAAAGATAATTGCTTCTCGCTATATCTATATGGACGATATCGTTTTTAGTGTTATGTCGGAGGAAGAAGCTGCATCAGCTGCTAATGAGCTGATTGAGTTATTTAAACGTGCGCAGTTCGATTTAGTAAAATGGACATGTAATTCCGACTCGGTCTTAAGCGCTCTGCCTTCGTCATATAAGATGTCTGAACCTCTTGAATTTGATAAAACCGCTCAATTTAAAATTTTGGGCTTGAGTTGGGATAAATCTCGCGATTGTTTTGAATTTAAAGTAACCAAGCTTGACGAAAGGTGTTCAAAACGAATCATTTTAGCCACTGTAGCTAGAATTTGGGACATAATGGGCTTCGTAGCGCCTGTCGTTCTCTTCGCTAAACTTCTCATAAAGGATTTGTGGCTATTGAAACTTGATTGGGACGATTGTCCGCCCCAGCAAATAGTCGAAACCTGGAAAAGGTTTTGTATAGAGTTACCGCTACTCAATGACGTCAAAATACCGCGACATTTGGGGGTCTTCGAACATTGCGTTGTACGACTGGTCGGCTTTTCTGATGCTAGTGAGCGTGCTTATGGAGCAGTGGTATACGCCCATATTACTCAAGTAAGCCAGGTTACGACGCGACTCGTCTGCGCCAAGTCAAAGGTCTCACCAATGAAGCCTTTGTCTATTGCACGTCTCGAACTCTGTGCTGCCGAATTACTGGTAAGACTAATTAAACGCGTGCATGACACCTACGATTCACGCTATCATATTAGTGATATGTACGCGTTCACAGACTCAATGGTCACACTTTGTTGGATAAACTCTTCTCCGCACCGCTGGCAATCTTTTGTCGCTAACCGCGTCGTCAAGATTATTGACAATTTACCAGCCGCTAATTTTCATCACGTTGCGGGAATAGATAATCCAGCTGATTGTTTATCGAGAGGTCTTACACCCGAAAGGCTAATATCTCATCCATTATGGTCACAAGGTCCGCCCTGGCTCACGCAAGACCTCTCACTGTGGCCTATCACTAATACAGACCATAATACTATAGCGCTAGACAACGTACCGGAAGAGAAAATAACCGCACACCCAATTACTACGTCAGAACCAGAAACGTCCTTAGTTCAAGATCTTAATAAACGCATCTCCTCCTGGAGTAGACACACGCGTATCCTTGTTTATGTCTGCAGATTTATAAATAAACTACCCCGTTCCGGTTCGATAGCAGTTACCGCGTTCGATATTCGAAGCGCCGCAGAGCATATGATAATAGGCGATATTCAAAAAAGACATTTTGCATTCGACATTAGACAGCTGGGAGCCGGTAGTAATTGCTCGCCCGCGCTAATGAAGCTTAAGCCATTTTTATGCGATGGCCTCATCCACGTTGATGGCCGCCTTACCAACTCCGCTGAAAGTTCAGAATACAAATTTCCGATTATTTTACCGCGTCATGACGCTCTTGTAGAGTCTTTGATCGACTACTATCACAAGAAATATTTACATGCCGGCCCAGAGCTGCTCATGTCTTTGTTAAGACAACGATTTTGGATCTTGTCCGCTAGACGAATTATTCGGTCTAGAATTAATAAGTGTAACACTTGCTTTAAATTAAAACCGCGCCCGCGATTTCCTTTAATGTCTGCTCTGCCGGGACATAGAGTCACGCAAGCGGAGAAAGCTTTCGCTCATACTGGCTGTGATTATTGCGGCCCTATATTGTATACGCCCATACGAGCTCGAGGTGTTAAAACTCGCAAGGCTTACCTATGCATATTTACTTGTCTTACTACGCGCGCACTCCACATCGAAGTAGCCACGGATCTTTCTACTGTGAGTTTTATCGCAGCTTTAAAGCGCTTCCTGTCGCGACGGGGTCCCGTGAAATGTCTTTACTCTGATCGTGGAACAAATTTTATAGGCACTCGATCTTATCTACGAGATTTATATAATTTTGTCACAAAGGAATACCGCCCGCGTTTAGAAGAAGAATTGGCCGAAAGTCGCATTGAATTCAAGTTCATAGCGCCTGCCGCCCTACATTTCGGTGGTTGTTGGGAGAGTATGGTGAAATGTGTAAAGAACCATCTTTTTAAGGTTATTGGACAGCAGATCCTTGCGTATGAGGAGTTAATCACAATCCTCGCTCAAATAGAATGTTTACTAAACTCTCGCCCTCTCACTGTGCTTAGCTCCGATCCAGCTGAACCGACGGCTTTAACACCCGCACACTTTTTGAATACGTTACCATTGCGCTCTATACCTGCACCTGATGTGGAATCTTCGCCAATTAATTTACTTCAACGACATACACTCTTAGATAAATTAGTCCAATCGTTTTGGCGTCGTTGGAGAACTGAATATCTGCATCAACTGCAGACGCGGCGTAAATGGACTCAATGCTCGGTCCCCGTAAAGGTGGGCACAGTTGTCATAATTATAAATGATAATTCACCGACCCTCTCCTGGCCTTTGGGAGTGGTCGTAAAGGTTCACCCGTCTAAGGACGGTATAGTTCGTGTCGCTACAGTAAAAACGGCAAGGGGTACACTCGTGCGACCAGTGGTGCGCTTGTGTCCGTTACCTACACAATAATAAACTCTACATCGCTCACATCTTACATCTTTACATCTATGTAATATAATATTATATATATATATATATATATATATATATATATATTTGTATTCGCTTAGTTTTAGTAAGTATTAATTGTATTTATCGCATCTTATTATTATTTTCTTTTAAAGGCGACCCTTTAAGGGCGGGGGAAATGTTACCGCCATTTCTCAAATTAAAATATTCCGCGTTTTGGTCAATCTTATCGACGAATCAAATTTCCTCTATAATACCTTCATTTATTCCACTAATTCCTTCTTGCGACCGACAATCGGGTAGGAGGAGAAGTCTAAGTAAGAACACGCCCGCACGCGGAAGCATATTGTGTCACGCTCGCGACTCGCATATCTGTTTAATTATTATACGCCTAAAATCACGACCGTGAATTGTATAAAATAAGTGTAAATCGCGCAAGAAAACTAGGAGTGTACCACGCGAGTGTCAACCTCAAGTAAGAAAAGAAGCTGACGGCGTTCTCCAGGTGCGTACCTTCAGTTTTATGTGTCGGTTGCAAATTTCAACGAAATCCAATTCCAACTACCTATTACAGTCCACTTTATTCCAATTTTGAACCACGCGTCACCATATTTAATTTATTATCACTCGCGTGTATCACTCATGTCTTTCAGGCGTATGAATTGAACATTATTAATATAAAGAAATAGTATTAATGTATCTGTCATATTTTTAAGATGAGTTTAAATGTCATACATCTACATTACAGTCAAGCAATAATCATTACGTATTCGTGGCTTGGGAACCTAAGCATACCGCACATTTTAAAATAGAAAAACAAGTTTTTTTTTTAATGAAGCAGTAGTAGGAGTTCTGTGATGTCCGTCCTCAGTCGAGTCGACTTATTCGTGCTGCAGATATAATGTCACCGTCATGGTAAATTGTTAACGTGCACAACAACAGATTTTACAAGACTGCAAAAAAAACATTTTTAAATTTTTAATATGGCGCCCTGTGATTAATATTAGATTAAATAAGTTTTTTTTTAAATTTTGAAATGTCCATCATAACACTACGATGTATACAATAACGTAATATCTTAGCGCATTAGTCAAGTGACTCTCATTTGCTACTCTAATTCACAATAATTTAATATCGAAACCTTAAAATTAAATAATATTTTAACTCTAGATGTTATTATTTTTAATATCTTATCTGCACTTTGTAAATTTAGCATGGTGATTGATTTCTATTTACTGTGATTCGCGCATTTACTGTTATAATATGGCTGCTTCGTCCCATTAGGTTAAGTGTAACTTGGGTAGACATGCAGGAAGCCGATGGATCCAAGTGACTCAGGACCGTGCTTTGTGGCATTCCTTGAAGGAGGCTTATGTTCAGCAATGGACTTGTAAAGGGCTATAATGATGATGATAATGAGATATTAAGTCGTTTTTTGGTGACGTCATGATCATCATAACACTAGTCTATCTCCGTTTTTGAAAAGACATTTATAAATAATTCAACATATATCGGTTTCAACTTAACTTATTATAAAGATTGACTAAAAATAGGTTACATTTTCATTTCGTACTAAAACAAATCACCTGTCGCAAAAAAAATGAATAAAATAAAGATAAAAAGCGTGATATTTTTATTGATCTCTCGAATACTTTCGTATTATTTATCTATTGCATAGCGTTCTAAATCACTAATAATTGTAGTAAATTTAACCTTTAATTGATGTGAAGTGACTGCGAAATGATATCGACTGTCCCATTTCATCCCGTGGGTGTTGTTAGAAATGACAGAGGGAAAGTGAAATAGGTGATGAGTAGCAACAATTTCCTATTAAAAGCTCCAGTAATAGTTAACCTGTGGTTGCCAACCCGTCTGCCAATTGTGGCATGAGGCAGACTCTATATATAGGAGACCCTTTGAGACAATTTATGGGGGGAGGCCTTTGTTCAGCAGTAGACTTCAAATAGGCTTTAATTAATTCGGTGACTATATGAAAGACACCATTACATACCGTGGACGTCTTAAAACTTTGTCAGAATCATCTTATATTTCATTCTCATTATTCTGGACTCTGATCACCTCTCATTTCTGGGAGCGTTATCGAGCACTCGAACATATTGGCCCACCGTTTTCACGGACTTCATATGCCTACACCAGGTATGTATACATGTTCTTCACGATGTTTTTCTTTAGCACCTACCACTTAGTATATCAGCACTTTAAACTGCAATAACCAATTTCATAAGTGTCCGCGTAGATCGAGCCCGGGTTTCCTGCGTACTATGAATAGAATAGAAAATAAATCACAAGCATACTTGTTGAAATTTACCACTGCACTGGTTCAGAAAAAAAAACCTCTGTTCTGGGAAGAACTTGTAAGAAAGCCAGCGGGACAGGGGTTATTATCCATCATGTAATCTTTAGTAGTATAATAACCATTATTAAATAATTTTCACTTTATAATTTTTTTTAAATTTTTGATAGATAGGCAAATTACCTGGGACTTTGTTGTAATATCGTTTACATTGCCTCTGAAACAACTACTGACACTTTGCAGCCTATTAACTGAAATATACAGAGATTTTTTAATATTTGTGCTGTCGTGATTTTTTCACATACTCGTATGTTTTTTTTTTTTTTTTTTTTTATAGGAGAGGGGGCAAACGAGCATGCGGCTCACCTGATGGTAAGTGACTACCGCCGCCCATGAACAACCGCAACACCAGGGGAATTGCAGATGCGTTGCCGGCCTTTTAAAAAGGAGTAGGCTCTTTTCTTGAAGGTCCCTAAGTCATATCGGTCCGGAAAAATCGCTGATGGTAATCGATTCCACAAGGAAGTCGTGCGAGGAAGAAAACATCTTCTAAATCGCACAGTGGTGGACCGCCAATCATCCAGATGGTGTGGATGGTATCGGGAGTTCTGCCGCGATGTGCGTTCATGAAATTTGGCGGCTGGGATTAATCCGAACAATTCCTCAGAGCACTCCTCATGGTAGATGCGAAAGAAAATGCAAAGAGATGCAACATCTCTTCGCAGTGCCAATGAATCGAGCCGATCGGAAAGGGCTCGGTCGTCGACGATTCGAGCCGCTCTGCGCTGGATGCGGTCAAGTGGAAGGAGCTGGCACTGGGGAGCCCCTGCCCAGAGATGGGAACAGTATTCCATGTGAGGCCGAACCTGCGCCTTGTAAAGTTGCAGGCGGTGTGCCGGCATGAAATACTGTCCCGCTCTGCTGAGCACGCCAAGCTTTTTAGAGGCCAATTTGGCCTTCTCTTCCAAGTGACCACGAAACTGCACGTCACTCGATATGTCGACTCCGAGGATACCGATACTGTACATAATATCATGATAATGAGCCATGATAGATAATAATATAGATATTTAACAACCACAAATATACGGCGTGTATTTTATCAAAGTACCTTTGAAAAAATCGAAAGCTTTCCGAATAATGAATATTCGATTCCATCTCGATTGAAGAAGAGCTCGATTTAATCCAAAGAAAAACAACATTGGTGAGGCAACTTATCAAAAAGCATTTTTTGCTCAGCTATAAGAAGGTAATTGATAAATAAACAGGTAGTATATAAGTAGGTAAAAAATATGGTTGACCATGCAGGTCATCCCTGGAACTTCCCACTTATTTTCGAGAGCAACGTTCGAAAATCTATTCAATTTTTTTTTGGTTCTTATTTTTGAAAATCTTTGAAACAGCTCGATCGATTGACTTGAAATCTAGTTAATTCGGTCAAGTCTCAATGAACACTTTCGATCGCCGTGTCGATCATTTCGATCGGTTTGTTCGTTGTAAAGATATCCTACGACAAAATTTTATTTACATAGACACGGCCTAACGTCCAGCCGGGTACAGTCGAAAGTCTTCCTAGGACCTCAAAACATGGAGATCTGATAAAAACTCACATTCTCAAAATCTTAAAAATAACTTCCTACTTTTGAAAATTAAACTTTCAATCCGGGAAGTTAAAAAAACACTATTAGTACTTTATAACCATCTAGATTTGAATCTCTTCGTAAACTTTGCTGCAGCTATATTATAATGACGTCAGCACAAACTGGCCGGCTTGAGCGGGATAGAACCAAGCTCGTACAGAATATTAGTGTAAAGCAACGTAATGCTGCTGTGTTTTGTATGGAGGGAACAGGAATACATGTCAACGGTTACATGCTTTTGTTTCTTAATTGAGAGAGAAGAGAGGTCACATTCATCTGACATACGCCACTGTCGTCGTAGTTTATCTTGTCGTCCATTCCTCAAAATTTAAGACAAATGTGTGCAATCAGTTCATGTTGACAGTGATGACTTTCGAAACCGACACGTGGCTCAGCTGGCAATATGGGGAGACAATATCGCTCACCGAGCTGTGAGGAGTTTGTCTGCGTGATATTGTTTGTAGCAAAAATATCAGGAGAAGAACCAAAATAACCAAAGGGATTGAGCCTTCCATATAGCTCGAAGAATCTCGAGTCGTAACTTCATACCGTTTAGTGAAGTGCAGGGACCCCCACTAGGGGTGCGAAGTCAGAAGTCCTCCACGTATGCCTGGTAGTTGCGGGTCCCTCTCGATACGTCTGGAGGGAAGAGCAGATACTGGGCCGGTGCACCCTGGGCGCAGCAGTAGTCTTCCTCGAGAAATGAGAAGAAATTCTTACTCCTTGGGGAATGGTACTGCCACGGCTAATTATTCTGACATGGGGGGGGGTCCGTTCCGGACCAACGGTGCGTTCCACTGCGTGACCCTCTGATCAGCAGAGGGCATAGCAGAGGAGTGAGGGCGGGCTCGGTGTGCACTTACTCTGCCTCCGGGCAGACAGTGAAGGATTCATCCTTTGCTGTCACCGCCGGTCTCGTAATCCCAGTTCGAAGTGTCGTGGATCACGTCTCGCGGCTTTGATAGGGACCGAGCGTCTTGGCTTAACCGCTCGGACCACGAGGGAGAAAACCTCTATAAAAAGTTACCCCGAATCTCAAGCGGCGA